ATATATATATATATATATATATATGTCGCCAACATCACCCCTTGAGGGAAAATCAATAACGGAATCAATTGGGGAAGAAGCCGTTTGACATCGGCCCAATGGCCCATCTTCTTAGAATCAGACTTGGGTCCCATCCTGACGCATTCTGCCGGCTGCGTAGCATCAGGCGTGATCAGCTGTAGTCGAAAGTGTCGGGAATAATGTAAAGTAGGAGGTTGCTATGGTACGCTGGCGGTACCGAAAGGCGGGGTGGACTCCATACATTACGCTCCTGTGTTTTCGTAAGACGTGGCCCTGGGTCCAGAGGTCAAGCATTGGCCGAAAGCCTCACGCAAAAGCATGTGCACCCCTTTCAAATTGGGTCTCCTTCGTGCCCCCCTGGGTCGGTAACAAGCGGTCAGTATCGGTAACATAGCCGAATTGATTATTTGCAATTTTCGGTCCATGAGTGTTTCAGCAGGCAAATTCCGATTTTCCAAAGTCATTCAGAATGACCAGGTAAACGAGGAAAAATTTCTGCAGAACTCCCACGGATTTCCGCGCCCCTCGATAGTTCAGAAGCACCCGCTCTAGCGTATTGACGAAACGTTCTGCCTGACCATCTGACTGCGGATGGTACGGTGGGGAAATGACGTGCGTGGTTGTAGCTGGAGCTGAACTGTGATCCATTATCCGACACTAAGTCTCCGGCAGGCCATGCTGGCTGAAGATCTGAGACGGTCCGGTTGGCGAGAGAATGAGCAGTTCTGGCCACATGGAGAAAGCGTCAAGATGAGGTAAGTTACGCCATCAATAGACCAAGCGTAGTCAATAGGCACTCGGGACCAGGGTCGTCCGGGTGGAGGCCAGGCAGCAGGCTGCAGGCTCGGATTTCTTGCGAGCACTGACAGTCTGAGATGTCGCGATCCATGTGCTACCAATAGGCGTGAATACAGGCGGTTGCTTTAATCCAGTTAGTCCCAGGATTTCACGAATAAAACTGCTTCAGGATCCGAAGGCATAAGGGGCGTGGCATCACATAAGGCAGTTGCCAACGCAAGACGGAGAATTCCAACGATGGAAAGGAGGCTGAAGATCGTCATCCATGAATTTAGTCAGCCAAAGTGTCCTGAGGAAGTGGACCACATGTTGTAGTGTCGGATCAGCCGAATTCTCACGCTGGATATCCGGCAGTCACCAGCACCGGCTGTTTGGAGTAGCTGCTGGCTGACGTGGTCATCGATGGACAGGGTGGCGATGACCGAGTCATCTTCTGGGGTAGCATGGTTGCCGCTTGGCCAAAATCTATGCGGCGACCCTGAATGTCAAAACCGTAGCCGGGTGGGGTGAGCGTCCAACGTTGCAGACTGTTTGCCGAGTGAGTGGGTACGCCAGATTTCGAGGCAAAAATGAATAGCAAGTGTTTGCGATCGATCAAGGGTGAATCGACGGCCGTAGATGATCTGGTGGAAGTGGCGGACGGCAAAAACTGGCGCCAATGCCTCCTCAATTTGACCATATTGTTGTTCCGCTGAGGTTAGCGACCTGTAAGCATGCATGATCACCTTGGTTCCGTCTAGGAGTAAATGAGGAATGACAGAGCCCACACCGTAAGTGAAATCATCAGCTGAAGCGACGACCGACAGCTTGGGATCATAGTGCGTTCATAGCAGTTTGGAGCTAAGTACGGACTGCAAATGGCGGAAAGCGACTGCACATTCTCCTGACCAAACCCAAGGTGTGCTTTTTCTTCAAAACATAGGGGCAATTCAACAGACTACCGCTCCCAAGGATGTAACTACGCCCATCTTCCTTGGGTCTCATCAGCTTGTGTTCGGCATTTTTGCCTACACTGCAGTGTTCAGCCGCAACTTACTCGCGGCCCTAGTCAAACCCATGGAGGGCCAAGTAGATCACATCCTGGAAGTCGAACAGCACCACAGCACACAAAACTTTCCGCGATACCCTTCATTCCCTTCTGCCATGTCAAGTTCTGTCAACCTCTTGGATTCCACCACTCCGAAGTAGATACGGAAAACTGCTCGTCTCGACAGACCGTAACTATCCTTCGGTAAAACATGACCCAAACACCTTAGTTTGCAATGCTGGATACGTTCTTTGAGGGAAGTACCCTCTCTCTCACCGAAAACCCGTCCCCTGAGCACATCATCCCGTCGGATAGGAAATCACCATCACCATCGACAGGATGACATCAGCGTTCAACACCGATGCTTCGCATAAGAAATGGACTTTTGCGCAGTGACCGCTGTTTTTCTTTTCATTTGATTCGCGTCGATAACTCACTGAGCTCAGGTGGTGGGTTTACTTGTGACACTCAGAACATCTTATTTCAGGTTGACCAATGTGTTGTGATCTGACTAACACAGTTCACTAGTCCTCCCGATTGGGAGTTGGGACATTTGGTGACGTGCACCTTAAAAACATAGGCTGGTCTAAGAGACTTACGCCAACCACTGCTGCCTTGCGGCTAGGCTTTTGAGCTTTTGGTTGAGTATCCTAATGGCTCCCCGTCTAGATGTGGGCACTCTGGGGGTATCCCACTCACGCACAACTATGAACCATACATGTTGACGAAGTTCATCATCACCATCATCGACACCACATCAGTGTTCAAAACTGACGCTTCGCTGCTGTACAACCATTATTCATTCAATAACACGTTTTAAAGGGAAGGATAAAAGTGGATGGGAAAGGGACCTAGAGCTCGCTTACTACAATCATTTCGACGTGCATACACTTCCAGACACTCGTTCAGGCAATCTGGATAGAAAGTGACAACAAGAAAGCCACTGACGTCGATTAACAGCCATATCTTGCAACGTTTCCAATCAGACAGTGGGGATCTGGTCCCCATCCCGTAAAACGAGCAGCACCAAACACACCAAAACTCTCCGTAACCTCTACCGGCTTAAGGGTTGGCCACCTTTCTGCATTCGCCACTCTGAATTGGGCACGGAAAACGGCATTCTCTTAGGTAAACGACGGTTCATCATGCGCAATGTACGGTTTAACCAACGCAACTTCTGCTGCTGGAGATATTATTCAATGGAAGTCCCCGTTGTACGTTAAAAAAAGACACTCAAAGCGCTAATGCCTGCTGTCAACCTGTTGGGGATATCAATATCCCCCAGAAAACGCTGTGTTTTTATGTGTGCTAGCGAACTCCTGGCATCTTCAAGGTCAAACTATGAAAAATCAATGGCCTATTGATACTCCAAGGAAATTTAAATCCGACCACGTACAGGATACCATTCTTTCCACTGACTTGGGTTCGGAAGCTCCGGGCATCGCCTGTTGATCGTGTGTTGTTGGATTATTAAAGTTTGTGTCCGAGGTTCTCGTCTTCTTACTATTCGCCGTGCTAGGAGTCTGTATCAAGCAACATAGCTGGGGATAGAGTATTGCCACAATCCGCATTATCATATTGTTTGCTCGCTGCGTGACCGAACCGTAACACTACGGCATACCGTTACTGTACCTCACCAATCTGCATCTAATTTTCAGATCAATCACTGGACAAATTTGGCGTGACCCACTGCCGAAAAATCATCGCAGCCAGTTGTAGCCTTTGTACAACTTTGTTTTTGCCTTTCAAATGCTTGCCATTGGCACAACCGCTTCATCGTTTGCCTTTCACTTTTTGGTGGACTATGTCGCCTCTTGTTTTCCCCCATCATGTATCTCATCTACCGCGAGGCAGCGACAGTGTAGCGAATCGAAAGGATTGTTTGTTTGGCGAAATTCGGTGCTTTCCTGCGTCCATGCATCTGTTACGGGAATTGGCGCGCTGCTCGCGTAATTAGCAACGTACACCTTAATGCTTCTACTTCAGATTCTATATTCATCCCGACTTGTCAAAGGATTTGATATTTGCACAGTCTCCATTTTCTCTATCCTTAGTTGCCTACTCGCTTGGTAAGTTGGGTGGTCTTCTGTCTAATCCTTTGTAGGGTATTTTATCGCAGACTCGGTGCACATGTTTTGGTGGTCACGGGAGCGTTCAACGTTTGAACTTCTTGTTCATCACTTTGCGGTAAGTTTACACTGGCTATTCATCATACGTGTAGGTAATGACCTGTTTCACCTCAGCTGTGGTATCCGGGACCTATATAGGATATGCTGTTGTCGCGCTACTTGTGGAAATAAATTCAATCTTTCTACACATGCGACGGCTATTGAAATGCCTCGAGTTTCCGAAAGACAGTCTGTTTTCCCAGTTTGTGAACTATGCCAATCTAGGTGAGCCACATTCAGCGCATTTCTATCATTGCTTTAGATTATTCCTTGGATGTGATTTGTGGGTATTTAACCTCCGATTGATCCAAGTTCTGTCTCATTCACTCAGTCGTTTTTCCTTGTCAGCTTTTTTTATCAACCTCACATTTACACTTCAACACAGGATTTGAAACGTTTCCATTAGCTGGGTATCATTTAGTATCAGATCATTTGTTATAAACCAGACGCAGTTTTTTTCATTGTGGTCTCGTATTAAGGGGGAGGAAAGGACTAAGTGCTGATGTGTTTACTACATCGGGTAGTCATTGGGTTTATCGCCGTTACGAAGTCTCTGATGTACAAACTGGACAGTCTAGGCTCTCATGGAGCCAATCTTAACTTGAAAGGTGTTCCCCAAATGACCTTAAAGTGGTCTAAAGACTCATGGACCTTTGGGCTGAGCTGATCGCGTGTTGACGGCAACGCTGCTGTGGGTTGCTGAATGTCACTTTAGTCCTGTATTTCTGAAGGGAAACATCGTTTTTGGCTAAACCATCATATCAAGCTCACGCACTTCAGTCTGGTATATTGATTGGCTCATCTGCTGGCATTTAGTTCGGATATGCTCTTGTTCAATCCTACAGGAGTGCTTTTCCCTTCGTAGATGTGAGGCACATACTTAGTCGTGCACCAGGGCCAGATGGATTGCCTTGTACTGTTTGCGTTTCTGTAGAGTGTGACGCAAGAAAAGCTCTACCATCCAGTGTCAACAAGCAAACTCCCTGGAAGCGTTCTGATCTCAGAAGCTTCGAAAGTTGCAGTTGACTGTTATGCATTGGAAGGTTCCATAGGTGAAGTGTTTGATTTTAATTGAACTACATCCGAACATGAGTGTCACTTATGTGCATCTTTCGCATTTGATAATGATACTTTACGCTACTTTTTAACCTTTCTTCGTCCCAAGGTACCTTCATTGTGTTCCGCTTCCTGGTCCTATGTTGGATGACGCGCTGGCTGGTATTGAACCGAGATCAAATCAGTTTACCTTATTACTGTCTTGGAACTACGTGTTTGGCACTGATCATGTTCATGAACATCGTTCTATTCATGCGCCTTGTCCAGTCGGACGTACTGAGCAGGGATTCGGCAGTTGGAGCAGCTACTTTGGTTGCTTCAACTCACGTGACTACTAATTCGACCAGTGCTTTCAAACGGAAGACTGTCCATCAGTCTCATGATTCCCAATCGGTCTCATTGTGTGCTTCTGATTGAACACCTACCTCAGAGGTGCTACCGTAAACTTTAGTTCCTGCTCTCTTTGCCTCTCTCTGTCTACCCTTCTCTTTACCCATATGAGGGTTACTGCTATCGGTTATCCGACAATTACCACCCCTGTTGGGCATTGGGGCCGATCTTTATGGGGTGTCTATTTCAGTAGAGCGGCTTTTTAATTTTTTGTTTATGACCAGTATTAGCCTTCTCTACAACGACGCACAGCTCTGGGACTACTCTTCTTGATTTCTGGCAAATGCATTTCTTCAGTATATTGTCTACTTTGAGGGATTACCTATTGTCCGGTTCAGTCAGGTCACTCATACTGTTTGGAAGATTTTTCCGTTTTGAATTTTTGTATTCCAACCAGTAAAATGTCATTTTTTGTAAATTCTGGTTCTTCTTTTATCAGGTTATTTCACGACTGGATACAACATTCTCTGGAAGCATCTGTAGTTAGGCTCTATGTTCTAACTTCGATTGTACCTGTTTGGATCGATAATAACTATGGTTCCTATGGATTGTATGGTGGGTACGCATCACAGTTGCTGTGACTAAATGGTTGGAATCACCGCATCGGATGGTGAATAGATGAGGCCGCTGTGTTCCCGAGATATCAGGGGTCTGTACGACAGCCTTACTTGTTTGACCACAGGCCCATCCAGACCCACGCGACAGTTAAGTGCAGGTTTATCTTCAGGACATCGTACAATGTATTCAGCACAGGAAACGTGGTGGGACCCGGAAGCCAAATGTGACGGAGCAGAGTGACTGCATACTTTTTTCTGCATTCATGTATCCGGACTGCACATCGACACAGACAATGTTTTCGTGATCTTTTCTGGTTAATACAAAGCGAGATGTTGTGAAACTGAACATGCACGACGTAAGCAAGAAGAACAAAGATAAAGAGGTCCCTGAGTAAGAGCGTGAGACTATTTCGTGTCAAAATTCATTGACTTATTTGGTCACGTGATCAGACCAAGAGTTTCAATGCGCGTTGGAACGTTTTCATAGTTCACATACCCTGGACGCAAATCGTCACTGCTTCAAATGATATCGAACAGACCCCCCGTAAATATATAGACATTTGGTAAAGTAGTCTTGAGTGCACTTTGTAGAGCATCGAAGCATCAGTATCAAGTTACCGTCTCTGATGATGATGATGATGATGATGATGATGATGCACTATTGAACTTAATCAACTCTATCAGCCAAGTTGGCGACCACTGCTTTTGCGCCAGGCTTCCTTGATCCTGTTGTTATCCCTAACCAACTCCGCTTTAACAGCACGCCGGAAACTCAAGTATGTTCGGGTACCATACCGTTGGACATATTGCTCGATACTTTTAGGCTGAAAACTGAGACAGCTTCGAAAGAGGAGAGTGTGACCGGGAGCTGAGTATTTGATCCAACACTTCTTCCCAGGCGGTGACAGACCGAGCTCGCTGCGTGACAGAACCGTAACACAACCTCATCTAAATACCGGATATCTAGTAGGACCGTGACCTTACAAAAGGCCGGGGACCTTCTGGTCTGTAAGCCGACGCCTCAACCACTGAGCGAGATAGCTCAACGGTAGTGCCTGTCTTTATGAAGAGTACTGGTGATGAGTATGGAAACCACAGTGGTGTTTGATTCCCTTTGTCACTGTGAGAGTCACTGATTCTCCGCCGTACAATGGTGGTACGCGAAACATTGACCAATGAGCGTCAAGCGGGACTTTGCTATGGTAGAAGCTGTGTCCACCACATCTTCACACTCCGTCAGGTGTCAGAGCAACGCCATATGTAAAATGCTCCAAAATTTTGGTGTTCCTTGATTTCAAGGCTGCGTTCAATTCTGTCGACCTAAGCGCATTTAACCATCCTTACTCAAAAGAAGATACCCCAATAGTTTTGGGGCATAATCCAGTCTCTATTTTCACGTACTCCTGAGCGTGTAAAAGCGCACGGTGAGGTCCCTACGAGCTTCCCACAAGAAGTGGTGTCCGGTAAGGTTCAAATTCGTCGTCGATGAAGTAATGAAACGCCGGCGTTCAAATTGCTATAGATCTACGCAAACATTGTTCTCATCTTTAAAGATGAAGGGGAAGTACATACTCTGTTGAATAGATTGAACACGGGAAAGTATGTGGTTCTAACCCGACCTCTGCCTCTCGACTTTCCCCGGACTTGCAGTATACCATCTGTCGTGATTCCTTCGGGTGGCATGGAAGCTAGGTACCGAAAGGGTGCTACAACTGAACGATTATCTTTTGTTGTCGTTTACCAAACAAAACAACGATTTCTAACCCAGGACCTTACTGGCGAGAGTTCGCGGAGAGGGTTACAGATGGATGAAGTCTTAGTGCGAGATCAAATTGGCCAGTATCAACCTTAACAACATTGCTCAAATCTCCCACCAGGCGCAGGGACGGCCACGAAGACCCTGTTTTGAAAACCGGACTGCACCAACAGTACTCACGCTTAGCTCAAGCTTCTTCGCATCCTCCTGCAAACGCACACATTGCCCAGGTCGCAGGCAGCCCCAGGTTTACCGTCCAGGGCTCTAGTGCAGACAACCCAACTGAGTGGCAGATGGACATGAACTGTCCTGCAGAGAGCAAACATTAGTGTAGGGCGACGGTTTGTTCAGCAATCGAGCCTTACTCCGAGGGTGTACGTGTGTCGGTCAGAGAATCTCATACTAGGTTGGCAAGTGGATAGAAGTCAGACAAACACGGTCTCCTAATCCTCCAGGTTGAGCTTTGGAACATGTGACGACTTGCACCTTGAAGATGCAGGCTGCACTGACAGCTTTGTGCCAGCCACCGCTGCCTTGGAGTTGGGCTTTCGAGACGATAACGTTCGTTCGTCCTCCGGGATAGGTGTGTTCAACCTAGCAGTGTCCCAGCCCAAGTGCAATCACGAATCCTTTACTTACAAAGAATCTCATGCCGCACGCCGTCGCGTTCTGCCATCAGCTGAGTCGCTTATTTGCTGAGTACGGAAGGACAGGTGAGCAAAAAAGGTTAATACTGATGGCTCCCTTTGTTCTTTTTCACCTATTCACTCTTCTTCATCTCCTCATACCGCACCTAGAGACATCACCCTAGGCTCATACCTAAGGACTGACAGATCTGTTCACCGCCCATTGCCGTTAGATCCAATATCTAGAGCTGACTCGACCGCAACCGCCACAGACACTTCGAGATCATCGTTCAAACCTCGACCCTCAGTTCACCCGGCAGTCCTTACTGTCCACACTCAGAAATAAGCCAGACTACTCTTGCATGTACACTGGACTTACTTCTTATTGATGTGCGAACACTGGATGGTCTCCAAAACCACGGTGTTCTGATCTCTCCGAGAGACCGCCTTGTCGACCTGGAATGCGTATATATTTTCATTTTTTAAGATCAGGAAGCCGACCAAGGTCATCCAGTGGTTCACCATGTGTTTCGTGCCCACGGGGGACAGTCATGCTGCTAGACGTACAGCGTATGAGAAGTCAACGAGTGACCCTGTAGCTCGTATCTTGGAGGTTACATTAGCTCTGACGTGAAAGACGTGTGAATGACGAAGTGAACGCACGAATCTCGAAGGCCAAAGCTGCTTTTACCGATTGGCGCCAATTGTGGTGCCAAAAGTATATTTTATTGAAGTCAAAGAACGCTTGGATTGGACTACGGTACGGTCTGTATCACTGTACAGCTGCGAGACTTAACCACTTCGGGCGGAGCATCTGAGACATCTTTAGATCTTTGAGCACCGTTGTTTCGAAACTATAGCTCAAATCGGCTAATTCTAAATGTGGTGCTCAGGTGACGGGTTTCCGGTGTGAGAGACTGTACTTCCCTCAAAGAACGTATCAAGCATTGCAAACTAAGGTGTTTGGGTCATGTTTTACCGAAGGATAGTTACGGTCTGTCGAGACGAGCAGTTTTCCGTATCTACTTCGGAGTGGTGGAATCCAAGAGGTTGACAGAACTTGACATGGCAGAAGGGAATGAAGGGTATCGCGGAAAGTTTGTGTGCTGTTGGTGCTGTTCGACTTCCAGGATGTGATCTACTTGGCCCTCCATGGTTTTGACTGGGGACATTAACAACTAACCGATGTCAATCGTGTTCATGCTATCATTTTCTATCCAGATTGTCTGACTGAGTGCTGGAGGTGTACACACCTCGGATGTCTGTGGTAGGCTATTCCTTAGTCCATCTTCCTGCCTTCTTTCGATCATAAGGATTTATTCAAATAGATTGGCATGGTTGTACGGTGGTGAAACACCGGCTTTCTCATCTGGTTTTGCTGTCAGTGACGATGATAATGGGATGCCCACGCGGGCAGGTGTTTGGAGCTCTCGGCCTAAATTCTAGGCTTGTTTATTGAAAATGGTCGAATCAGTTTGGTGCTCGATGGTTACGCTTACCCGCATTTTTGGAAACTGACCACATGGATTAACCAGAATAATCTCCAAGCAACCCAGAGATTCTGATCCTCCTCCAATTCTTTTGCTCATTTCATTGGCTTATTTCCCTAATCTCAATGGTTGGCACTAAGTTTCAATTGGCGTCTGATAATTTGTCGGGCTGGATCGCCCTGTAGATCAGCGAGAAGATTTCTCCGATATTCAAGCAATCCAATAGCAGTTGTTTGAGTCGACCTGATAGCACCCAGCCATAGATAAGACCTCCAGCATTGTGCAAGGATGTGACGATGCCGATGCAGTATGAAATGACACCTGACTACAAAGCAGTTAAAGACGTTTTAAATACATTTATTTGACTTCGGAAACTGTCCGCTTCTAAATGATCAAGTGAGCTGTCCAGTCTTTACGCAGTCCTGGAAAGCAGACAAGCGATTCCAGACGAGTGCACTGACAGAACCTACACGAGTGCTCCAAATCGAGCAAGTTGTTGACGACGATATCAGTAACTGATGATATCCAGGTTAGTTTTGACCCACGACTGACACGCTGTTGAGCACGTTTGTCTAGACGACTTCGGTTATCCCAGAAGTAGTAGCGGCATAAAAAAGGGCATGCAGTCAGTACCCAGATGAGACCGTTCTCCGTAACCGGCAGCGAGTGGTAAGTGATTGGGCTATTAGCTGTGATTGTGTGGGAGTCATAAATCCTCGTTTATGATACATAGCACACATCAATGTCCAGTGTGTGAACAACAGCAGTCTTTTGTCCCGTATGATTCAGCCTTGCAGACTGTGTGTAGGCTTGAAAACTGATTTGAGGTGCCCCAGGCTGTCGGTTTGCGCTGAACCGAAGAAGACACCAGCGATTGGAAGGTTTCACAGCCTACCCATAAAAGAACTTAAGTACCTTCATGGGAGATCATGACCGTTTCGCGGGTACTTGGCTAGCTGAAAAGGGAGGGCATGACACAGTCAAATAAACAGTTACTCCCTGTCCAACTTCTGTAACCGCTCACCGCTTGCCATCGTAGACGGATCTCCATGACCAATCGCCGCATAGCTAACATGAAAATTCGCCCATGCGATCTGACTTTTGGTGCTACACTGTCCTTATGCTTACTAAGCTAAACGTTCCTGGTTCCGCAGCTTCTGTCAATACACAAGCTACATAGTATGCAGCGCCCGGATCGGCCCTGGTACTAGATCATCACATATGAGTACGTCTAACACAGTGGTCATAATGAAAGAAAACCCGCAGTTGTCTAGTTCGAGTTACATGTGAGCAATGACTGGAAACTCTTCTACTTCGTTCATATGCCACTCTTTAGGATCATTCTTGAGGAGCTCTGACAAATCAGGTGCTCTGTCTGGATATACTCACCCCTGAGAGAGTAACCAGTCATTTTCTCTATCACCAGATCACTTGTAAAATAAACCTCATATGAAAAGAGAGTGGGTCAATCACGAATCCGCTAAGCGACGTCAGTGTAATATGCACGCTATGGAAACACCAGGGGACAGTCATTCTCTGAAGGCAGGTGTTCAAGACAATTTCTGTGGATGGAAAACAGAAACAAAGCTCATGAGCCAAAGCCCAGTAAGCAAGGTTGTACATCACCAATACTTACATATAAATCAATCAAACTGACAGACAACGTATGCTACATCAGTGGGACGAACTTCGCACAGTGACGCGCGCCCTCACATGACCAGTGTCCCTGATAGACTAAAACAAACAAGCAACGGAGTTCAGAAAATCAGTTCAAAATTTTGGGTCACATTCGGCCATCCCGGGGTTCCGGTGATGCTGATGCATTTTCCTGACAGATGAATGGCTGATTCAGTGGATACTGAGATGCGGAGGTTCCTTCAGTTCCACTCTGATGTCCAGATCCAAAGGGAGCTCCAATATCAGAAACTAGGGGTGTGGGGAAATATCGTCCAATTTCTTACACACATTACTACGCGGGACCATTGTGCACCACAACAATGGGGTGAGTAATGTGCGTTTGTTTGAGTTTGATTTCATAGTGCTGGCTAGGCATCACATCCAAGAATGTTCCCAGGTGTTCAGTGATTCCTCAACATGTGCGAGGCTAGCAACTACCCCTCATTGATTCGTATAACGAATATGTGGGAAAAGAAAGAGAATTGCACAAAAACAAGATTGTGTAGCGAAGTATTGGTGCTAGCTTGGGGAGAAGCCCCGGGAAATAACATTGTTATCACCAGTGGAGACACGTATGTGGTGTTTTGCAAATCAATGTTACATTTTCACCATTTTCTACTCTCTTCATATAAACTTGAATTGCAATTTGTAAACACTGTACACGTATCATGACATTTTGTTTCATTGTACCAATAATTACATTAAAATCAAAAATGAGAAATACACAGTTTCTTGGCGCGACTTCCCTGCTTTTTGCTGAGTCAGTGAAATTGCATCCGATTGAACTGACTGCTGTTTGCTGAAGTCGTGGGGTTGGATTATTGTGTTCGTGTGTGAACTGTTGAACGTCACAATAACTCCTTGTGAAAATTTTCAGCTGTGATAACTTCCTACCGTGGAATTTACTTCTAACACTCGAACTATCAGTGGAGAATATCCTTCTTACACTGGATATATTCTTCGCCGCCGAATACGATTAATGCACAACATTTCGTGTAGTGGGATTATTGGACCCCCAATTTAGCGAGTCTGTTCCATTCACTTGTTTATCTCTTATTGCCATTTGTTGTTCCTAATCTGATATTTTGATTGTATATTTTATTGAACACGCATACTTAGGTCCTTGTCCGCTACATAATTGGTGAGCCCTATTTTTTATTGTCATTTTCTCTGCAGTACTCCCATAGTTTTCCGTCAGTCCGATTTTTCTCCACGCATTTATTTCATTATCTTGGCCTCTGAAGAAACGCAAGCATATGAGGTAGACAACGTTATATGTGTTAAATTGCCAGAATTCGGTTCTCGTGACCCTCTTCTCCTTTGGAAAAACTCGCCGAGGTCGCCGACCATGTTCACGAAACCTGCAGGCAATTTGTTGTTTCTAACGTACAACAACCGACCACCTCCATATCCAATCTCGAACTCGAACTCAGCTCGATCAAAGCTCAGTTTGCCGAGCTATCTCTCCAACTCAACAACGTAACGAAGCTGATTAGTCGTCCGCCCCAACACCGACGTCTTAGATCTCGCTCCAACGTTCGCACTTCCAAGTCCAACGACCAGCCCGGCATGTGCTACTACCATCGTCGTTTCGGCGAACGTGCTGTTCGGTGCACTAGACCTTGTACGTTCGTCAGTCAAGCAGCGAAATCGGGAAACTCCATCGCCGGCCAGTAATGGTGACCACTGCAACCGGCTCTACCCCATGTCGCCTGTTTTTTGTATATGACCGATCCACATCATTGAACTTTCTCATTGATACAGGTGCTGAGGTTAGCGTGATTCCTCCTCCTCCACGCAAGCGAAACCTCCAGCCGGTGGCATATACTTTGCAGGCTGCCAACGGAACTAACTTTAAAACCTATGGTGAAAAGCTCCTGACACCCGACTTAGGTCTATGTCGCCAATTTCCCTGGGTTTTCACAGTGGCCGATGTTAAAAACCCCATCATCGGTATGGATTTTCTCACATCGTTCGGTCTCGCAGTTGATCTCCGTCGACGGCAGTTACTCGACAATGCGACCACCTTATCCATCAGTGGCAAAGCCTCTTCCATTAATTCTATTGGAATTCGTCCCGCTTTGCCAGATAACCGGTTCGCTGCCCTTCTCCGCCAATATCCCGAGATCCTGCAACCTGCTCCTAAGACCGTTGCTGCCAAACACGATGTTTTTCATCATATCTCAACCAGAGGTCCTCCAACCACTTCTCGTCCTCGCCGTTTAACACCCGAGAAGTTAGTTATTGCTAAGGCTGAATTCCAGCACTTACTGCAATTGGATATCATTCGACCATCATGTAGTCCCTGGTCATCACCACTACACATGGTCCCAAAAAAGTCCGCAGGAGATTGGAGACCATGTGGCGACTATCGCGCACTAAATCGCGTCACAATCCCGGACAAGTATCCGATGCCGCATTTGCACGACTTTGCTCTTACGCTTCATGGCAAGTCTGTTTTCAGCAAGTTAGATCTAGTCAGGGCTTATCATCAGATTCCTGTCGCTACTGAAGATATTCCCAAGACTGCGATCACCACGCCATTTGGTCTATATGAATTCGTTCGCATGCCATTTGGACTCAGAAATGCAGCCCAAACTTTTCAACGATTCATGGATCAAGTACTTCGCGGATTAGACTTCGTCTACGCCTACATTGACGATGTTCTGATCGCCAGCCGCTCTGAAGACGAACATCTTGTTCATCTTAAGCAAGTTTTCGAACGTTTCCAGCAGTATGGTATAATCATCAATAGCAGCAAATGTCAGTTTGGTGTACCGTCACTAGAAATACTAGGACACATTGTTGACTCAAACGGCATCCGTACTGTGCCATCAAAAGTATCTGCTATTCTGGACTATCCTGCCCCGGACAGTATCAAAAAGCTACGGCGTTTTCTTGGCCTTATTAACTATTACCGTCGCTTTATCCCAGACTGTGCCAAGGTTGTTCAACCTCTCACCGACCTACTACGACGAAAAACTCGCAACATCACACTCACCTCCGAGGCTATCAAGTCTTTCGAAACGGTGAAGGAAGTGCTAAACCAGGCAACTAGCTTAGCACACATTAACCCTGATCCTAACACACCACTGTTCCTGGTCACTGATGCCTCACAAACAGCAGTTGGTGGAGTTTTGCAACAGGAGGTCAACGGTGAAATGCAACCTCTATCATTCTTCTCGTATCGACTACAGTCAGCACAAACGAGATATAGCACATTCGGCCGGGGGCTTCTAGCTATTTACTTAGCTGTACGCCACTTCCGACATATTTTGGAAAGCCGACATATTGTGATTCTTACAGATCATAAACCGCTCACTTTCGCACTCAATGCAACGTCCGATCGATATTCCCCGAGGGAGACCAGACAGTTAGATTATATTAGCCAGTTTACTAGTGACATCCGTCACATCAGTGGTCATAGTAATTTAGTTGCCGATGCCTTGTCGCATGCTCATGTCGACCAAATAGCACGAACGCCATTCGATCTGCAACTTATATCCGAAAGTCAGAAGCACGACAAAGAATTGCAGGAACTTGTGTCGCGTCCCTCATTGAAGTTTGCCGACATGCCGCTTCTCAACTGTGATTCTAAAGTCATGTGCGATATGTCCACCGGCAAACCACGTCCGTTTGTTCCCCGGAATCATCGTCAATCTGTGTTTTTGCATTTTCACTCCATTTCACACCCGAGCATCTGATCCACAACCCGTTGAATTTGTGAACGTTTTTTGTGGCTTGGTATGCAGAAGGAAATTCGCCAATGGACAAAACAGTGCAAGACATGCCAAATGAGCAAAGTCACAAAGCACAAAATTACGCCCCACGGAAACTTCAGCCTTCATTCAGGTCTCTTCCAGCATGTGCATGTAGTTATCGTTGGTCCATTACCACAGTCCAACGATTGCTCGTATGTATTGACTATTGTTGATCGTTTCACACGATGGCCGCAAGCAACCCCCATGCGAGACTGTTCATCTGAAACGGTAGCCCGAACGTTCGTTGATTCCTGGATATCCCTATTTGGTGTTCCGGAGAATATTACAACTGACCGTGGAAGTCAACTTACTTGTTCCTTATTCCGTGATCTCAACCAACTATTGGGATGCAATCACTTCAAAACCACAGCATATCACCCTGCAGCCAACGGTTTAGTCGAACGCCTGCATCGACAACTCAAAGCCGCGATAATGGCCAAGTCATCATCCCAGGTTTGCTCTGAAGCAGATCCAGTAATACTTCTCGGAATAGGAAACACCGTAAAAGAGGATATCGGATACACTCCAGCTGAACTAGTCTACGGACAAGCGTTGCGTCTTCCTGGAGACATGGTTGCTGCCTCGATGTCGATTGATGATTTCTCACCATCATCGTATGTTTCACGACTGCAGGATCATATGCGAACCATACGTCCAGCTGATACTCGCAAGTCAAGTCGACTCACACAAGTGAATCCTGGTTTATCTTCATGCACACATGTTTTTGTCCGCGTTGACAGCGTCAAACGACCATTACACTATCCTTACGACGGTCCGTTCAAAGTCATTTCGCGGAAGGACAAATACTTTACGACTAAGAGGAACGGCAAACCAGATTCCGTGAGTATCGACAGATTGAAAGTCGCATATGTGGATGATTCGAACCCCGATTCACCTGCTCAAGTCGACAGTCATACACGACCCCAACCGTCCTGTGCAGTGATCCCAAAAAACCTGACCCAGTATCCCGGCCTGCCGACGAACACCCGTTGCCTATTCTAAACCACACCCTTACTGGACGTACAAGCAAGACCCCCGTTCGTTTTGCATTCTACACCCCATAAAACATTTTTACCACTATCGAGCGTCATTCACTTATCATTCCTAACGCTCTAGGGGGGAGTACTGTGGCGTTTTGCAAATCAATGTTACATTTTCACCATTTTCTACTCTCTTCATATAAACTTGAATTGCAATTTGTAAACACTGTACACGTATCATGACATTTTGTTTCATTGTACCAATAATTACATTGAAATCAAAAATGA